GAAAAAAAGCATCAGCCTGAAATCAAGAATACAAGAATCTTGTCTAGCGAGATAGTTCTTACCAGTAAGTCAAGATCATATTTTTCAGACAAGAATCTTGTATAGAAGAAATGACTAATGAATCCTGTCTGATAGCCAAGAATCTAGAAAGAACGATGTCAAGATCGTCGACTAGGTCTGTAGTATATAGTAAACATACAACATTAAATAACTGCATAATATCTAATAAATACAATTAGATCTTGAAATTTAAAGATAAACTTTACTTCTAGTACCCTATCAATGATATTCACCTATTTTACCTACTTTGTGGTAGCTGCTGCAAGACGACTACTTGCTTGCAATCAAAATTCAAGATACAGTTAAATGCAGGATCATAGTAACTTTAATGCTAGCTACGATATAGGTTCAGATCTTACAAATCGATTTTGTCGTCTAGTTATCCACTGTGAAAGATAACCTTGAGTCAATCATAATTCTGATATGTTTTTTTTTCTTTCTGTTTCAAAGAAAATAATCAATTGTTCGTTAAAAGTAAAATATAATAGTTTTTTTTTTATTTTAAATATAAACGGAAAAAACAGAAGCAAAAAAAAGAATATAATGAATAACAAAATCCAGATTAATAGGCTCGAAAATGATTCATTATATTTATTCATGGATAATACACTTATCGAAAGGAAAGAAAAAATATATTTCAGTAGGACTAACATAAAGGAGAAAAACAAGAAAAATTTCTACCGACAACATATACTTAATCTATCACAGTCCTGTTTAAATGAATTTGTTTTTTTTTTAAATATTAATTTAATCAAGTTCACCAATTGGTATATTTTTCATCCAAAGTTCATGCATAAATGTAAATAATGCTTCTGTAACTGATACTTTATATGGTGTTGGATTAAGATCACGTATATGATCTTTTCGTAATTGATTTAATTGGTCTTTAGCATATTCTCGAACATCTTTTAATGATGGTAATTGTTCTTTTATTTCTCCATCAGCCCAATATAATTTATATAAACTTTCAACTGATGTTGGTGTAACATAAGCACGACGTTGATCAGAAAATGGATGTCGACTAAGAATTTTAACTGATGGTTGTGGTACTGGTTCATCATATTTTGTTAATAAATCACATAAAGCTTTTCCATCATGACCAAATATTCGATAAAGATTTTTTCGACCTGGTATTGTTACTTTTTCAATATCTTGACTAACTTTAATACGTGGTGAACTATCAAGCTAAATAAATAATAAGAAAATTTTATCAAATAATAAAAAAAACAAAAACAAAAACAAATAATTTCAATGAAAATTTTTACTTCAACTAATTTATAAACACAACCAAGTGCTGGTTGTTTTTGACATGTAACTAAATGTGTACCAATACCAAATGTATCAATAGAATGTCCTTGTTTTTCTAATGATACTAATGTCTCTTCATTAATATCATTACTTGCAACAATATTAAAATCTTTAAAATAATCTATATTAAATTTTGTTGCTGCTTCTCGAAATTTTGCACGAACTTCTAACGATAAATAAGCTAAATCACCTGAATCTAAACGTAAACCAACAGCTTGATATTTACATTCATGTAATGCACGTGCAACAGCTAAAAAATTTGGTAAACCCGATTTAAGTACTTCATATGTATCAACTAATGCTAAAAAATTTGTTGGAAATGCCAAAGCATATGATGTAAATGCAGCTAATTCTCCTTTATTTGTTTGTTCAGGAAGAATTTTAAGTATTGGACCAAGTTCATTTAAATATTTTAAACATAAATCAGCAAATGGACGACGTTCACCACTTTTGCGATCACATAATTCTCGTTCAGTTAAATCATCCATTGATTCATATGAACTAACATATGCATGAGCATGTGTACCTTTTATTGGTATTCCATATAGTTTACCAGCTAATACATTTGATGTACCATCAAATCCACCTAAATAACAATATTTTGATGCACTTAAACCACCATCAGGACCTTGAGCACGACGTAAACCAAATTCAAGTAAAGCCTTTTCAGTTCCGATTGCAGAACGAAATCTTGCAGCATTTGTTGCAACTAAACTTGCATAATTAACAAGTGTTAATAATGTTGTTTCAAGTAATTGTGTTTTAAGTATTGGACCTTCAATTCGAAGTAATGGTATACGAGGAAATACAACAGTACCTGGATAAATAAATAAATAAATATTATTTTCAATCTATTTTGTTTAATGAGAATAATAATTATTCGTTTGTAATATCAAAAGCAAAAAAATTGAAATCATTAAATCATCAAATAGACAGAAAAATTCTTAAATCTATATCGAAAAAACTTCATTCTTGAAATTAAAGATTTCAGTATATATATATTTAAAATGTTCGTATCTATTTGATAATTTAACAATTTTGGTTTCATATAACATTCTGTGAACTTTTGAACTCTAGTGATCATACATGCTGGTGATTATACAAGAACAAAAAAGCAATGAATTTAAGCTGCTAGGATAATTTATTATGAGATCATGCATTGCATGACATAATGAGTCTTAAAGTATTCTGAAAGAACATTGAAAGTGTGTGAGTGAGGACGAATGCAAATGTATGGATGAGGGTACATAAAACATTCTGACTCAAACCGACATCCACACTCACATTCATAATTGTCCGATCATCGAATTTAAATGACTAAAAATTGATATGAACTAGCTTGAAATATCATTATTATCCTTATCATTTCTTCAAATTTTTTTTTTGTGTTCTCATTGATATATAAGATAATTTTTTCTTGTATCAACAATAAAAAAAATATTAATTTAGTCTTTAGTTTGTGAATTTTCCTGGCTGTAATAAATATACGATGATGGTAATTCGTTTTTATGCATTATTTAGATACTTTTGTAATAAGTACTATTCAGGGCAAGGCGAACGGAGTGAAAATCGTTCGAATTGCGTTTTTGTTCTATTCACGTTGACCTGTGTAGACTTGTAATGCGTCAGCTGACAACACATTTGATATCGATTATCATAAATAAATAGTAACAAGCACCTTAGACTTTGGAATTTTATGAAGTGTACTCATATTTTTATCAGCTTTTTATTTTATTTTGATCGAATGAGTATTTTTATTCATATATTCTACTTGGTATGTTCTGTAATAAAATAGAAGTGAATGATAGTATTTTATATTAATGCACAGACAGCGACGAATGTCATTAAAAAAAAACCGTCTATTATCTTGATATATGTAAAAAATACAATATAAAATGAAGAGAATGATACTGTAAAAGTTGTTCAGACTACTATAACACGTGTCGATCTATATTCTAAGTTTCTTTAACTAAATAATCATTGTTACTCGCTAAATCATCAGAAGAATTGTTGAATATGTAAATGAATTGTTTTTATATCAGTTTTTTATCATCATAGATTTTATAATCTCATAGTAATTATATTCGTTATTCTTATTCAATAACAAATACACTTCCGACTTGTCCACGCATCATTGAAGTATAAAAAAATAAAAAAAAAAACAAATATTTACCTTCTGGTACAGCATATATTTTAATATTATTCATATCAAGTTGAAGTAAATAATCATAATATTCTTGTTCAGTATAAGTTGGTAATACCGTACGAAGATAATCAATATCAGTTGGATGAAATTTATAATCACGAATAAATTTAAGACATTCTTCAAGACCAGCAAATAATGTATATTCACCACCAAATGCTAAGATTTTAAATAAAAATAGATTAAATAAATTTTTCGTATTGATTTTACTTACGATTTTTTCGAAAATATAAATCAAATGTTGCCATTTCTTGATGTTTATTTGCTTTCCAATAAGCATATGCCATTGATATTTGATAAAGATCAGTTAATAGTGGTTGAACCACACTTGATTGTTCTGATGCTGTCATTAACGAAATTTTTTCACTGGTGATTGAATTAAGAGATTCACGTTGTGATGAAGATGAACACTTGTCGATTTTTGACAATAATTGTTTGGCTACTGAATATGGCTCAGAATTTATTAAATATGGAGGTTTTATGTCGGTAGATGATGATGATTGATTATCTAAAAGACTAGAGAAAAAAAAAATGAATAATATTATTTCTAGAAATATATAAAAGAACTTATAAATTAACGATAAGCTTCCTTCTTCGTTGCATTCTATCTTACATACTATAAATTACAAGTATTAGATCAAAGTATTTTTGCTTATTATTAATATAGAATCAATAAATCAATCTGAGAGCACAACCATACGCAAGATAACATTAATATGAGTTCAAAACTTTCATACCATCGCGAAATAACAACCCTAAAAACTTCCTTTTTATATGCGTCATAGAATTATTATTTTTTTTCATTATTTCTTATACATTTCAAATTAATGAATAAATTATATATGGTACATTTGTTGGCTTTGCCGGAGGACTTTCTGAATCATTTTTCAAAGAAAAAATGAACAATAATTTATGCTTATAGACAAATATTTACATACTACTAACTGTTCTTTCGCCGAAAGAAAATGCACAGAACAACAAATGACATCATCTGATAAGGCAATTCTAGAATGGCTAGGTATAATTTATATAGAATTTTATCATTTTTTGAAAAATATTTTTTGTTTTTTGTTTTTTATTTATTTATTATTAATCAATTATAATAAGCAATTGTAGCGATTAGTTTTATCTATTTAGCGACACAATAAAGATGTACAATGAGCAAATAATGAAAACTTAAATGCGTATAATAAAGCAAGAAAAAGTAAAAAGAACTTACGTATTCTCTTCAGAAGTATTGATAGTTGCCATTTTACAAACACGTGAAGATGCACACATTTTTTTTTAAAATCTTTTTAAAATATGTCAAACAAGTTCTTTTCTTTTTTATAATCTTAGATATGTAATAAAACATGCACACTAAATGTCGACACTCGTAGACTTTTCTGTTCTTTCGCAAACATTGAATAAAAAACTGACTGTTTACCACTTACTTTATATTGTTTTTGTTTTCATATTGATGAGAATAATTTTGAAATAAATATTTTTCTCCGATATTATTTTTTCGTTTTTTCGTTTTGATAATATTATCAAGAATCGTCGGTGGTGGTAAAAAACATTTCTTTAATGGTTTATTTCTTAATGAAATTTCATTGACTGTTGTTGTTGTTGTTGATACTTTTTCTCTTGAAGTGATTGTTTCTAGAAAGTAATTAGTTTTCATTTTCATAAATTAATAAATATGCAACATATATAAAACATGTTAGTACATTTTAATAAGAATAATAAAAAGAAAAGAAGCATATATATTTTTATTTTGTAAAAAATATGAAGAACGAATGTGATGATTTGCTGTTGATAAATATAATATCTATCTCTCAAGCTCATTTTATAAATTAATATATACTAATTAAATATGTATGTCAAATTTTTTCTTCGACTAAGAGTATAGCAAGAACCATTAAATACAATAAAAGATATACATATATGATAAAGTTGATAATTTATTAAGCAGAGAGATAAGTGCAAAATAGCAATAAAAATGATTCGCTTTTTTTCTTTTAGTTACAGATGATTAGACAAGATCAGAATTTTATTTTATTTATTCTTACCAGAAAATCTACAAATGATCAATCAAAATCTAATATATATATATATATACATATACGTCATACTAACTAATCATATATAAAAAAAGAAAATCATGTTGATAATCTTACCATCTTCAATATTTTGATTATCATTTTGTCTTAATGAGGCCATTAATAATTACATAAATAAAAGACAATAGGACAAAACAAAAAGAAAAAAAGAATCTAGAAGTAAATAATAATATCACATGAATGTATAAGACAAGATCGATCCCTTGACTTTTTTTTATTATTAAACAAATACAAAAAAACAAAATTTATTCTATACCATCACCACCATCATCATCAAAATCATCATCATCGCGATCACCTGGATCAAAATATGAATAAGTATAATCTGCTGCCTAAATAAAAAAAAAGCAAATTTTTGCTTTTTCTTTAGAAATTAATTTTTTTGGTTTTATACTTCATCTTCATCCATATCTTCTTCTTCATTTGGTACATCACCATCAACTTCATTTTCATTATCTGTTAATTTCTTTTTTTCTGCATCTAAAGAAAAATAAAAAAAACCAAAAAAACAAATGTTTTTTTTTTTTGATCAAATTTGGAAATTAAAAACCTTTCAATTTTCCTTCATTATCATCATCATTTTCATTAACATCAGCATTATCATCTTTTTTTCCTTCTTCTTGTTCATCATCATCATCACCATCACCCATTGGTTTTTCTTCATACTAAAACAAAATTTTTATTTATTGAATAAAAAAAAAAAAAATCTCACGTACTACATTAAGATCAATATTAAATCTTGTTTTTTTCTTGTTATTCTGTGTTATAATATTTTTTTTTAATAAATTTGGTTTAAATTTTGATGAATTTATATTAATGCGAGATGCTTGTTTTAATTCTCGAGGTAAAATAGACCATTCTAGAAGAATTAATTTATTATTTTATAAATAAAAAATAATTAATAAATTTTATTTAACCTTCTATCCATTTATTTAAAATGAAATTTTTTTCATGATCATCTTTTGTTGGATCATGTAAAGTTCGAAAACTTGAATTAAAATTAAATTTTAATTTTAATTTATAATCATAATCATTTATTGGATTTTCAATTAATGAATGTGGTGTATTAAGTAATTCCTTTGAAAATAATACTAAATAAATATACAATTGATCTTTTCTCATATAATTAATCAAAAATAATTTATACCGGATATACAGGTGGTGGTTCATTTACAGTAGCTGGTAAACTATCTTTAGCTAATTTTAATGTATCAATTGTAAATGATGCATGACCACGACCAGATGCCATGTATGATGAAATACAATTCAATCAGAAAATTTTTTTTATGATAAGTAAATGAATTGATTAATTACACGAAGAAATGAAATACTTTGGAACAGGTTTTTTGTATATCATCAAATGAGAAAATCTAGATTAACAGAGGGCACTAGTAATCAGAAAATATATTAAATCGGAAAAAAATTCTTCAACATAGTTTAAATGAGCCAACTATTGAGGAGATATTAGAACGAAGACTAATGCTGAGGCGGAATGATGAGTAAGGATGTGAAAAGTAGGATCCGTTCTTCATTCACAGTAAGAATAACTCATTTTTGTCATGCTTAAATGTACTTCCTACAGAGAAGAAAATAGAGATTATATATATATATATTGCAGTATAGTGACAAAGTATCCACACAATAAAGAATTATGTTAACTATATTTAATCATTATGTAACTAATGAGTGAACCGATTTAAGTGAGAATCCTATGAAGATTAGACAAAGTCTAGAATAACTCGTTCACTATGATCTTCCTTTTCACAATCTAGTCAATATATTAAAATTTTTACTAGTATCTAATATATTATAAACTATTAGAACCTTTCGATGAACAAAGTTTCAGCTAAAAAATTTAGACAATTGGATTTTATTCGACAAAATGAAGAGTTAAGAGAATAAAACTAAGAAAGACTCATTTCAAAAATTTTTTATCAATTGAAATCATTCATCTTTAATTCTCTTTTATGTAATTATAAAGAGAAAAAAATCTTATGTAAACCTTTCTCACAATATCTCACGTATTATTTGAAAAATAAAAGAAAAACATAGATTATTCAACAAAAAACAAAAACAATCCAAAAGGTAAATTTACATCATTTTGTTTAAAAACTATTATTATTTGTACAATATTTGATATTAAATGTTCTTGGTCAGGTACACGTGATGAATTTAAAAATCATCTTTTAATATGTAATTACGAATGATTATGATCTGTACTTAGTCAATTTATTAATATAACTCAACAATTTAAAGAACAAATTTAAACTCTTACAAATCATGTTAAAATTTTACAATTTACAGATAAATTTTAATTTAATATTTTATATATAGTTAATATATTTAGTTCATAATTCAACAAGTCGTTTAACAATATTTAATAAACTTATTGAAATTAAAAATAGAATTAATTCTGAATTAATGCCTGAATAAATGATCATACGCTTGTGTGATTTTTAATGAAAAAGGAAATTCTATGAAAATATGTTTAAGATATAAAGATATCGAAATATTTACATTAATTTCATTTGAAGCAACTTCAGCTTGACATAATAATCTTGAAATGAATGTTATTAGAAAACGAATTAAAAAAGATATATATTCAAAAAGAATTATTCTTCAATTTAATTTGAAAAATATTGATCAAATTAAATTTATTCCAATTAATGGAATACAACAACATACAAATATTCAATATGATGAAAAATATTTTGCTTTGACTTGGATATTTTTAGGTTAATATGTCATTTGAAATTTCGGAGAAAAAAAAACTCGAAGCAAATATTGAAAATAAAACAAAAAAGAAAACCTGACTTATTTGTAGATAAAAATTTTATCAAAAATATTCATGTAGTTGTTTGCATATGAGTCATTCTTGTTTCTTTTCCGATCCTATCACAGTCAAATCAAAGCTCTCGATTAGTCATATCTGCTTTCTAGTCACTACAAGAATAATATAAGAATCCTATTTTATTATTATAGTGCTTCCTAGTAATTATTTCTCTCTGGACATCTTATCAGAACATGTGAAAAATTTTGTAGGACTTTAAATTCTAGATTAGCTTTGTATATTGATCAACTGTTCGCCAGATACGGATATGATTAATTAACTATATAATCTGTTTCACTTTGTTATCTGTTATGACAATACGAAATATATTCTATATATAATAAGGGAATACAAATGAATCTATGGTGAACTACACTGATAAATAATGATTCAATCTTATTTTGATAACATAATGTGATAAGAAAGTAATTGCATTAAAATGATTAAATATATTATGATGAATTTTGATTTAATAGAATCGTCTAATGTATATTTCTTCATAGAAATGCACTTCGATATCATTAAAAAATGTTTGATTTGTCAAAAAAAAATTTTATGATCAATTTTTTTTGAAAAAAAAATCAAGAAAATTCAGACCACCGGTATACCAATCGATCTTTTATCGTTACCGTTTACAATTCTGGCATAAATCATTTCAAACGATAAAATATTATGACGCAATTCATAGACTTTCGTTACGTAGGAAAGTAAATCTATTTATCTAAGAACATTTTCTCTTGCACTAACTATTAAATAATTGTGTTGCATGAAGATGACTCATAAATCTTCGAACGTATTAAATATTTTTGAATTTAATCCTTCGTTCAAGTATGTACGTCGACAGTAACTTGAGATATTTCTTTTGTAATAATCGATAGAAGATTTTTTTCTCTATTTGTTTACCAATGAAAAAATTCATATAAACCTAACGAAAACAAAAAAATTGTAACCTTGGTGACTATGAAAATGTATTCAAAAATATGTATTTTAACGAAGTGTCATGACTCATTTGACGTTAATCTCATTCTAATCGGATAATATATATCAAAGTTTGTTAAAATAAATACTTTTACCGTCAAAAGTATAACAACATTTTTTTTTCATCAAATGTAAGTTTTTACATACGTAACATCAAAATATTTTCTTAATCTAAAACAAGATGATACATAAGTTTACTACAGTATAAATTATATTGATAATCATACCAGTTTATAAAAAAATAAAAAAATAAAATCTCTGGATACCATGAAACGTTTCTTTTTTAATGGGCCAAATCATCTGAATTTGATATAGTTCTACTTCAATGTACTATTTTCACTTAAGTCATCGCGTCCTCATCCTCACGCAGTATTGTATGCATGTATGAAACACACCAATCAGTATGAAGATATAATTAAAGTAAAAATATACTTTATCATATTTTTCCAACATATATGATACTTTAATGACACATTTTGTATATGAAAGAGCTTGGACGAAGTGCGACCTCTAATGGATGTATCTGGCCTATTTTTGTGAGGATGAAATAATTTCGAAATGGCAACATGTTTAATAAAATATGGTCTAATGATTAGTTGCAAAAAAATAGGGCGTGGGAAGTAACAATCGGCAAAAAGCAAAAACTCCTCCGTTTAATTTGTTTTCTCGTTATCGGTGTTATCAAATTTTAGTACAAATACTTCTGTTTTGTTATATCTATATAATTGTCATAAAAATGTCTATGAAATCAAATTCAGCATTTCAACGTCTTCAAGCTGAATATCGTCGTTTAGCTAAAGATCCAATTGCATATTTGACAGCTCAACCATTATCATCAAATCTATTAGAATGGCGTTATGTTGTACGAGGACCAAGTGATACACCATATGAAGGTGGAATTTATCAAGGAAAAATTGTTTTTCCTGTTGAATATCCTTATAAACCACCAAGTAACGATTTTTTTTTTGTTATTCCATTTATGTTTAATATTAATTGGCTGTTTAGGTATATATATGTTAACACCTAATGGAAGATTTAAAACTAATACAAGTTTATGTTTAACAATAACATCATTTCATCCTGATTCATGGAATCCATCTTGGTAAATTTAATTTTTAAATAGAATAAAATTTTAAAAAAAGAAAAACAAAATATTCAATTTTTATTTTTAAGGTCAATATCATCAATATTAAATGGATTTTTAAGTTTTATGTGTGATACAAGTGCAACATTTGGTAGTATAGAAAGTACATATGCACAAAAAAGAAAATTTGCATATGATTCATTAGCAT